CTACAAGAGTGACCCACAAGAGTGTCCTACAAGAGTGTCCTACAAGAATGTCCCAGAAGAGTGTCCCACAAGAGTGTCCTACAAGAGTGTCCTACAAGAGTGTCTGAGAAGAGTGTCCCACAAGAGTGTCCTACAAGAGTGTCCCACAAGAGTGGCCCACAAGAGTGTCCTACAAGAGTGTCCTACAAGAATGTCCCTTAAGAGTGTCCCACAAGAGTGTCCTACAAGAGTGTCCTACAAGAGTGTCCGAGAAGAGTGTCCCACAAGAGTGTCCTACAAGAGTGTCCCACAAGAGTGGCCCACAAGAGTGTCCTACAAGAGTGTCCTACAAGAATGTCCCTTAAGAGTGTCCCACAAGAGTGTCCTACAAGAGTGTCCTACAAGAGTGTCTGAGAAGAGTGTCCCACAAGAGTGTCCTACAAGAGTGTCCCACAAGAGTGACCCACAAGAGTGTCCTACAAGAGTGTCCTACAAGAATGCCCCTTAAGAGTGTCCCACAAGAGTGTCCCACAAGAGTGTCCTACAAGAGTGTCGTCTAAGAGTGTCCCACAAGAGTGTCCTGCAAGTGACCCACAAGAGTGTTCTACAAGAGTGTCCGACAAGAGTGTCCCACAACAGTGTCTATAAGAGTGTCCCACAAGATTTTCCACAAGAGTGTCCCACAAGAGTGTCCTACAAGAGTGTCGTGTAAGAGTGTCCCACAAGAGTGTCCTGCAAGTGACCCACAAGAGTGTTCTACAAGAGTGTCCGACAAGAGTGTCCCACAACAGTGTCCTATAAGAGTGTCCCACAAGATTTTCCTACAAGAGTGACCCACAAGAGTGTCCTACAAGAGCGTCCCACAAGAGCGTCCTGCAAGTGACCCACAAGAGTGTTCGACAAGAGTGTCCGACAGAGTGTCTTGCAAGTGACCCACAAGAGTGTTCTTCCCGAATGCGTAGCGAAGGGTTCCCGTTTATAGTTGGGGGTCTGGGGGTTGGAGCTGTGTTTGCATGGCTTGCGTCGTGTCGTCGTTTGTCGTCGTCTCTCGTCGTTTGTCGTCGTCGTGTCGTCGTCGTCGCGTCTCAAATTTGCTGCCAGTGGGGGAAGCTTTTGCAAGTGACTTTTCATGGATGTGTCACGTGTCAGTTTGCGCCGCAATTCCATTGTGATTTGCATGACACCGACATGTCGCGCAAGAAACGTGATGCATTTCGCTGCACAGGCGCAGCGTTTTGTGAGATCCGCAGATTACTGCGCAGTTCCATTGGGATTAGCGTTTGGAGAGTCGTGTTTTTGGGGTGTTGGATGTGGCCGTGCCATTGGGATTTGCGTTTCAGGGTGTGGCATCGAAGCTCGGTTTTCGTGACAAGTCTCAGCTGAAGTGGCGATTTTGGTGGATGGGAGTGTGCTCTGAACGGGTCGAAATCATTCCAAACGTGTGGTGTGGTGCAAATTTTGTTGAAGCTCACATGCGATGATATTGTCACTTTTCGTGGCAGGCGCAGGACTTCGTGCGGTTTTTGAAGCGTGGAAGTGCGATTCTCGTGGCAGGCGCAGGGAATCGTGAGGTTGCGAGGTATGAGGGAGGTGACATTTCGTGGCAGGCGCAGTACTTTGTGCGCGTTAGACGTGTGGATGGGGAAAGATTCGTGGCAGGCGCAGGGAATCGTGAGGTTGTGAGTTGTGGTAGAGGTGAATGTCGCTGTCACATTGGGATTGGCGTGTGAGCGGATGTTGTTTGGAGGGGCTGGAATCGCGAAACTGCTTGGCAGGGCTGCGTGATGTGTGTGCTCCGATGGGTGTTTCCGCTTGACTTTTGGAGGAAGTCTCGTACGAAACGCTCGTTTTGCAGACTTTGACGTGTGAGTTTGTGAGGAAGTCTCGTACGAAACGCTCGTTTTGGAGACTTGACGCGCAACCCTCTGCGGAGATCGTGCGCGTCGAGTGTGCGAAATGCAGACCAGAGTGCGATTTGTCCCATGCGCGCGCAACCCTCTGCGGAGATCGTGCGTGTCGAGTGCGCGAAATGCAGGCGAGAGCGCGATTTGTCCCATGCGCGCGCAACCCTCTGCGGAGATCGTGCGTGTCGAGTGCGCGAAACGCAGGCGAGAGTGCGATTTGTCCGGTGCCCGCGCAACCATCTGCGGAGATCGTGCGTGTCGAGCGCGCGAAATGCAGGCGAGCACTGGCGACTTTGTAGTACAACTTTAGTACGCGGGGTATCTGGGGAGCTGGAAGATGAGAACTGGTGAGAGAACTGGCGACTTTGTAGTACAACTTTAAATACGCGGAGCAATCTGTGGAGCTGGAAGCTGAGAACTGGCGACTTTGTAGTACAACTTTAGTACGCGGAGCAATCTGTGGAGCTGGAAGCTGAGAACTGGCGACCTTGTAGTACAAATGTAGTACGCGGAGTATCTGGGGAGCTGGAAGAGAGTCCCACAAGAGTGTCCCGCAACAGTGTCTCACAAGAGTGTCCCTTAAGAGTGTCCTACAGCAGTATCCCACAAGAGTGTCCTACAAGAGTGTCCCACAAGAGTGTCCCACAAGAGTGTCCCACAAGAGTGTCCTACAAGACTGTCCCACAAGAGTGTTCTACAAGAGTGTCCCACAAGAGTGTCCTACAAGAGTGTCCCACAAGAGTGTTCCACCAGAGTGTCCTATAAGAGTGTCCCACAAGAGTGTCCTACAAGAGTGTCCCACAAGAGTTTCCTACAAGAGTGACCCACAAGAGTGTCCTACAAGAGTGTCCTACAAGAGTGTCCCACAGAAGTGTCCCACAAGAGTGTCCTACACCAGTGTCCCACAAGAGTGTCCTACAAGACTGTTCCACAACAGTGTCCCACTAGAGTGTCTCACAAGAGTGTCCCTTAAGAGTGCCCTACAGGAGTATCCCACAAGAGTGTCCTACAAGAGTGTCCCACACGAGTGTCCCACGAGAGTGTCCCACAAGAGTGTCCCACAAGAGTGTCCTACAAGAGTGTCCCACAAGAGTGTCCGACAAGAGTGTCCCACAAGAGTTTCCTACAAGAGTGACCCACAAGAGTGTCCTACAAGAGTGTCCTACAAGAGTGTCCCACAAAGTGTGTGCCACAAGAGTGTCTTATAAGAGTGTCCCACAAGAGTGTCCCACAAGAGTTTCCGACAAGAGTGTCCTACAAGAGTGTCCTACAAGAGTGTCCCACAAGAGTGTCCTACAAGAGTGTCCTACAAGAGTGTCATTTGGACATATTAGTTTTTCGAACGTGTTTGCATTCGGGTTCGTGGGTTCCATCTTGTTTTTTTTTTTTCGGGAGATGACTCAAGGGTCCGAATTGGAAAGAACATGAAAGAATATAGAAAAATGATCAAATAATATGAAATATGATCAAATAATAACTGAAAATTATATGAAAGAATATAGATTCTTTTTGGGAATGGATGAAGGCATGAAGGTAACACCCAAGGCTGAGGTTCAGGATAAGGGGAAACGCGCAGTTATCAGACTTGCTCGTCCAGTCCAAAGGCTCCACTTCTTTGGGAAGCTCCGGATGTCGGCAGAACGGAGGAACTACGGGCCCAAAGATTTGGAGAAGATCAGCTTCCATAAGGTTCAAAAGGCATAGGCTCAGGTCTGGGTCAGGTCGGGGTCAGGTCTGCCTCAGACTCACAATGCTGATCCAGAAAAGTCCATCATATGATTCTACAAGGTAAGGAGCCCACTGAGTGCCTCTCTGATGTTCCTGGTCTTCCGGATTCTTCCGGAGTCTCTGTCCGCTTGTCCTCTGTGCTTCCGACCCCCTCCGGGCCTCAGCTTCGACTTGGACAAGCTCTGAAAGAAGGCGTTGTTCCCAGCCCTGCGGTGACCGCGGTGTTCGGATTGCTGCGTGGCGTCGGGCAACCTCCACTCGCCAGCTGGGGTGCCAAATCTCAGCCTGACTGGTGCCTGGCCTGATGTTTTATGAAGGGGCAAGTGGACCCTTTGAAGGGTGACCATGTGAGATGGAAAGTGAATGCTCCTTATGTTGAGTAGGTCATTGGTCGGATAGAGCAACGTCTCATTCACAGGTCCGCATGTCCTTGATGCTCTTGAAGGTTTTATTCAAAGAAAGAAAGAATCCGCTGAGTGTCTGTATTCATACATCATCATAAATGTAGCTCTCGGGATTGCTATGGACTGCCAATCTCTACAAAAAGGGCTTGACAAATCTCCTGCACCACACCCATTGGCAAACCAGTCAGTCGACTGTGTCTCCAGTCAGTCAACTAGTTGAGCAGCCTTTTCAGATCGTCTGGCCTCAAAACAATGAGCAACCATGAGATGGCATCCAGGATCTGCCCAAAACGATGACCTCATGTCTGCCCCCTTCTCTGCACATGTCTGCACGTCGCCAGCGGCGAGTTTGGGGAAGGCGGGTGCCAAAAGGGTGTGTGTGAGGTAGAGTTTCTCGATGTTACCACCGTACAGGCAATATCCCCAAGAGTTTGGCATGGGCTTGCCGGCTGCCTGAAGAAAACACAATATATATATAATACATAAACATATATAATTATATAATATCATATAATATAATATATATATGGAGTAATGTATGATTACAATTAATCCACCTGAAGATTCCAGGAGTACGTCAGCGCAGCCCACTTTAGAAGTCTAAATCTATGCACGTGTGGTCCAATAGACAAAATCCAGTAAAGAACCAAAAGCACATGAAAAATGCATGTAGTATTGAATCGAACTCACAAGTTCAGACAGAAATGTCCGAAAATAACACAGGCAATATATGGCTGTTATAAAATCAAAAGGCCAGAGGTTACGTTCGCCACAACAAAATGTTGACATCGGACGAGAAGTCCCATGATTCTTGAGCAGCTAGGGGGTAGGAAGGCCTCACGTTTCTCTAAAAGCACATATATATATAATTATATATATATATATGTTTCTCTAAAAATCAACTGCACCACCTTCCTCAACCTTCTCTTGTGCCAAGACACCCTCTTGTCTAAAAAAGGTACACCAGACTACAATGATTATAGTCTAAACTTTAGCAAGGTTTGCATACTGAATTCCAGAACGATTATCTGCAGGATCAATTGATTATAAATGAATTCCAGGTCCAGGCATTCCAGGATAATATTTTTGGGGCCATCAGATCCACTTCAAAACCACCTCTCTCCACGGAGCTTCGCGCGGAGCGAAGCGGCGCCGGAGCGTCGCGCGGCCGGGCCACGTTTCCGGCTTTTCCAGGCCCTGGCAGCTTCTTGACCATCGAGGACCTGGAGACACAGCAGCCGCCGCCACAGCCGCCGCCGCCCAGTCCAACGGATCAAGCATGCAGCATGATTGAAAGGTGACCGAGACTGAGACTGAATTCACATCGATGAAGCGTGTTTCACAAGGCCGCTGCTACAGTGCTACAGAACCTGTGAGAAGCTATATAAGTACATAAGTTCTATAATGCTCTATATACTGTACACCTATCTTCACATCAGGGTCCCGTCCGTCCCCCATATGCCACCCAAGATGCTGCTTCACTCTTAGCCTCTTCTTGGACTTTTCGATCCTTGGGCAACGTCACCTGACGGTGCGACTTTGACCAGTTCCTATTTGACGGGTTCGATTTCGATCGTGTCATAACTTCAGGCCCAACCTATTCGATTGGAGAACCTTCCTCTTTACCCACCAAACCCCTTCGACTAGCAGCGGAGGCTATCAACCCAATACCCATGTTTTCAGGCGGCAGAATCCCAACGTTTCGATCCCCCTCTTTTCGGCTTCACCGCCTGGGCCAACGAGATAGAGGCTTTAGCCTCGATCTGTGGCCGCTTCAAGAGCTGCATCTCAGTGTCCTCCCACACAGCCTGAGCATGAGACAGAGCGAGATCGGCTCCAGATGACTCTGGGGCACCGTCACACTTGAGGGTGGATCCAGCTGGCTAGATCCATCTAGATCCTCTCCAAGCAGTCTACACAGGGTAAGTCGTGAACGTCTGCCTTTGGTGCTGGATGTGGCCAAACCCAACAGCATGCCTCTCACCAAAGGGATGAATCTCGACCTGATCCTGGATGGTCGTCCCTAGGAGTGCCCAAGCAAGTTATGACCCACGAAATCGAAAACAAAGACCAAGGTCCTTACTGATGCAGTGGTGAGTTGACCAAACTCTTTTGTTTTTGTTGCAACTCAGTCCACATTAATCACAGAAATGGAATCTGTATCTGTCCAATCTGTGTACCACTCAAATTGTTTCTACTTGACCCTCAGTAAGGTTTAGCTCCTCAAAACGACTTGATACATCCCCTCATTCACTCCCAGTCGATAGTGCTGCCATGCTGCTGCAAGGGCATCCACCATAGATCCAGACGCCTCACGTGAATTGACGCTAGAATAAAGGTAGTACACGGATATCCATCTGGCCAACTCTGTGGGGATCACTCAAAATGAAAAATCCGCACTGCAAGCTGATTCGGTCATCATATCAACGATCCGACATCGCAGCTGAGTCGCAGCATATCGCCCTCTCCCTCCGGACAAAGCAGCCACCAAAAACCGTCAACGGACGTCCAATGACCCACTGGTGAAAGGGGATACGAGTGCCATGACCCACAGCCTTATGGATCATTTGTCTTACACACCTGCAGGTTCGCCTTGGCTTTGGCCTTGGCTTGGGCCTTGCCTTTGGCTTTGGCTTTGCCTTTGGCCTTGGACTGTCATGTTCATCTCAGGATACTTGAACAGAACTTACTCGAGATGTTGGGACGTTTGTCCCCTTTTGGACGTTAGTCTCGCCTCAGAAAATTAGATCCCTCAAAAAAAGGAGGACATGTGCCCTTAGCTAAACAGGACAGCACTGACTGACCGCTCCTGGTTCCCATCCAGCACGCTCACAGCAGTTTGCTGCGTGCTGCTTCACCAGCTAGTCTGTGAACGGTACAACAGCATGAGTAGGGAGGCCCTGCAACTTGGGTCCACCTAGTTGCAAATGTTGCAAAGACCTCGCCCAACAGCGGTTGAAATCCATCAATAAAGCGCCCTGAACAAGCCGGCCTGCACTTGTTTGAACATGGTGTAGATGTCAATCTGTGTAGGGTAGAAAACAGATTCTGGGAGGACAGCTACTCAAGCGTTGCAAACCAACCCAGCGTTGGCCCATCTGTTTCAACACTTTATAACCTGTCTATAGTGGCTGGTTGATAAGAAAAACTCAGTAAAACCCAAAAGCACGGTGGGGTGGGGGCGACTTTTTGCTCATCTTTCTGGTCATGTGTCACGGGGCGAGGCTATATAAGTCCACCATCTCCAAAAGTGATTAGAACAAATTAGACACCTGTATGCAGAAAAGCTCCCGAAAATCCCAAAGCGACACCTGTATACAGAAAAGCTCCCAGAATCCCAAAGCAGGTTGAATCAATGTGTGGGAATGAGACACACACTTGTGGCCCTTGAGCTTTTCCTGCTCAGCCCTCATCGGTCACCAAGCAGCTTTCGCGGCCGCTGATGGAGCTGATGCCTCTCACGAGAGAGGTCGACAGCTGCGGCAAAATGCATGTTGGCTAGCCTGTTGCTCTACAGTGTTTTCTTTACATCACTACATGGTTCATGTTCACTCCTGCAATCTTAGTACTTAGTTGACTGTTGATTGAGGAGCCTATGCAAAGCCTCTTCCATCTGCTTTCTCGGTTGTCACCCCTCGCCCCGCACCAAGAGTGTCAAAGCGATGTCAAACCTTTCTTCATCCAGATTGCACAAGACGGTGGCTTTGACCCATCCTCAACACACGAAGAAGGGTGGACTAGTACAAAAGCTGCTTTTTGAGCTATTTACAGTAGACTCATTCCATGGATTGTTGAGTCTAGTCAGTCTAGTCGGTAGGATCCAAAGGTCGCGCTTACCACCGTTTACCTTTGTCCACTGAGTCCACTGGTTAAAGGAGGTAAGGACAATGGCAAACTAATCGTTCTCGGGTTTGCTTGAAGAATCTTAACATAAAACAACATCTTCGACCCAATGCAAGATTAACCCCGCAGCCTATAGAGGCCAAAGACATCATTTTTATGAATTTGAGGTATACAGAAATATTACTGTACTAATGAGGTCAAGGACCAGCTTTTACTGGGTTTCTGAACCTGCAGGGGCAGGCAAAATCGCACACGATCAGCAAAAACTATTGCCGCCTCTGGAATTTCTTCGGCTTTCATGGAGCCTGCCGACTCGTTGGTCCAAAGAACGACAAACACGATGTTTTGGTCGCCCGTTGGATTCATAGGCCTCTTCCCAATCCTGAGTTCCTTCATTAAACGTCAACATCTCTCATATGGTCTTTGGGGAATATGGGTTCCTATTCACAGGGTGGTGTTTTCCATGGTGCGCAAACGCAGCGGAATCGAGGATTTTTGCGTTGATTGGCTTACTGTATTGGACATGATACCCACAAAACCAGTCCAAGACTCCTGCATGAAGAAAAAAATCCTGTCCTGCTGAATCAGGAAAACCAACGACACAAAACAAGCCCTTGCTTGTTCGCACCAAACAAAACCTGTTCAAATGAAGTTGGAACAAACTGGCGTCACTCTTTGGTCCTTATCAGAGTCCCAGTCCCATGTCTTTTCTAATGATCGAATTTCAGTTCTAAGTTCTGACGAGCTGTTTCAGTCATGGCCGACGGTGAAGACTGGCCGATTGGTCTCACGTCGTAAAGACTTGAAGAAACCCCACCTTTGCGTGTGATCCGCCGCCGTTTGGTCTCCGGCTCCGCTGGCTCCTGCTGCGCAGTCGACAGGTGTAGGGACAAAGGCGTGACCCCTCTGCAGTCGTACCTTCCATATACCTGGACCCCCCGAAGTACCCTAGAAAATGGGACATCGTAAAGTGTTAAGGCACTCTTGGGACCACCCTGAAGTTTGCTCTTGCGAGCTCTTTCTCAAGTGTGTGTGTTCTTTTTGGGCCCGTCTCCTCATGTTGGTAGACCTGACTGTCATGGTAAACGCCTCCCGACTAAAGGGCCCAACTTCTAGAACTGATGACGTCCAGTGATGACCACTGACGACCGTTTGCCCGCTGGTGAACCAGCTAGTCATGCCCAGCCCCGATAGACACGTCTTTACCTGATCATAGAAGTAGTCTCAGTCTCAAAACCTCTCATGACATCTCTTTTTAAAGCCACCATCCGTGCCTTGCTGGCAAGTGCATTACCAGCTTTTGCCTCTTCCTTCTCGAAAAAGAAAGAATTGTTCCATCATAATCGGGTAAAGCAGCCACTTCGAGTAAATGGTCGGAACTCCCGAAACTCACCGCCCGGTGCTTCGATCCCATCGGTCAATGCGGATCCCATCGCCGGAACCGTGTCACGGAACGCAAACAGCGCGAGTCGTGCAGCGAGTCGTGCTAACTCATCGCCGAACAGCGTTCCTCTGCTCACCGGACCCGACCGCCTTCTGCTTCTGTTTGCTCTGTTTGTGTTTTGCAAGATTGCCAGCTTCTGCTTCAGCCACACCATCCTCTTTCTTGTCCTGGACACAAGAACGCATGCACAAGGCACAAGTGGAACTGCTGACTCTCTCTGGATTCCAAACTGCCTAAAATCAGATGATGGCTCTCTGACCTCTTTGGCAAACACACTTGCAGCCTCAAGCTCTGGCGGATTCATCACACACGGCCTACAGTTTGATGTCCCAAGTCCCACGGCTTTGAAGAAAGCGCCTCTTGGCTGAGCGCCTTGACATTTGTCTCGCTCTCAGCTTCCACAGCAGCATTTCTCTTCTCCTCCTTCTCAACAGTCAATTGCTACTGTGAAACTATCATTGCTTAAGCAACAGCCCAAGCTCCAAATACTGATCACTTGCAGATCTATTTCAAGAATGCCAAGCCCAAAGAAACGTTGAAGCTATACTGCAAAACATGCCAACCATGCCTCCTTGACAAGCTTGTCCGCTTCTGCTTCAGCCGCATGATGCTCCTTGTTGTCCTCCTTCTTGTCCTGCTTGCATATTAAACAAACACATATGTTCTGCAGTTTCTAAACACAAACAACAGCATGGATCAATGGCCAAGCCCGAGGAATGATTTGATTAGTCTATGCCTGGAGTCTCAAAGTACAATTGAAGATGGGTACAAGTAACATCAAGTATACCTGTTTGTTTGTTTTTTTTTTTTTTAAATAGGGCCATGTCCCATTTTCTAGGGTACTTGAAGTCGGGTCCAGGTAGATGCACCGTATTTCTATGTGTTCATATACAAATCGAACCCTGTCACTGCCACACCTGCAAAGGTCGCTCAAACAGCTTGTGTCAAACAATCCAGCAAGTTGTCTACTATTTGTTCGAACATATTTCTCTAGTATACATAGTGTTTGTTATATATATACATATATACATACTTAATAGGTGTGCTTGCTCTGTGACCAGTGCAAAATGTCTTGCTGCCTGCCGGCCCTTCAAACTTTTGACCATGTATCCAAGGTACAAAAGAAAACCATATCGTAGGTTAAAATGTTACAGCCCAAAACAAGGCAATATGGAGTTCCAAGTCGATTGACATATTACCCTCTATATATATATATCTAGCTTAAAACCTAAACAAGTGGCACCATTGCCATAGTCTTTTGCTGCTCAAGTCTTGGGGAACCACAGCACCTCCGATCAAAAAACAGAACACACACCACAAGCATCCACAAGCCGTCTACACAGTTCTGGGTTGGACAAGACATCTGACGTTGGTTTTAATACCACCTGGAATCTCCCCTTGCAGCCTTTCCGAATCCCTACATCTCGCACAAAGCAGGCAACCTGCGCAATTCCTTAGTTCGGCTCACAAGCCACGGCAGCCCTGGCCTCCTTGATTTCTTCCAGGATCTCCTGAGCATGGAAACGAACGTCTTGAGATGAACGTCTCTGAGTCAAGCTTGGACCTCTGTGTTGACCGCACCAACATGGGTGTGTTTGTGTTGAAACAGGGAAAACATGGGAAACAAAAAGACGATATCAGGAAGAGGGACAAGTTCGCAAACACCCAGTGATCGCAGGGTCTCCATCTTCCAAGACACACCTGCATCAGCATCTGCCTTTGGGTGCTGTAGAATAGGGAGACCAGCGACCACCGGGTCGAGAGTTCATGTCTTTTTTCCATTCCAGATCTCAACGGTGGAGAGGAACCCACCCACCTGGTGCATTGGTCGAAATCTCCCGAACCAAGCGAGATCACAACGACCTGGACCCGACTTCAAGTTCACGAGAAAATGGGGCATGACCCTATTGAAATAAAAAATGAAAAACACACAGGTATACTTGATGTTACTTGTACCCATTTTCTGAGGTAGTTGTCTCAACTCGGACTTCATAGATCGGCGCATCTGACACCCACCTACCCACTCCCATTGTTGCTCTGGCATCTGCACCGAACCATGAGAGCCTGGCTGCGAGGAAGGAAGCCGCCGTTTTCCGCCGCACGTACAAGGACGAGAAGAACGAGAAGACGGGACTTGTGCCCGAGAAGCAAAAAGAATTGCATGCATCTATCAACATTGAAGTCCTTAAGATCTGCCGAAAAGGGCCGATTGGAATCCCCTGTTCTTTTCAGAGGTCTGCCCGCAAGCTGGTCAGCAGGTCAAAGACACAGCCATTTCTGCCAGACGTGTGGAGGACATCCCGCGCGCTCATCCCACACGGTGCACCATGAGATCCCCTGCTTGGTCTGGATCATCGGAAGCTACCTGAGAAGCTGAGTTCACCGAGCCTGCAGGCAAGATGAAGAGTTTCCAGTCGTCATCTCCATACACTTGCCCACTTGGATAGCTCAAGAAGTGTGTCCGTGGGAACCTGCGCCGAATCTCGTTCTCTTTGGCCAAAGCGTCCTGTGGATTCTGCTTCTCCAAGAACTCATGCACCGCGTCGCTCAACAAGCCAGTGCCGAACTCCACCGGGTCTTGGACCTTCCAATGGAACCTCTCCTGGAGCATCTCCAAACAGCGCTGCAGCAGCGGTGACTGGGGTGCCGCGGCCAAGAAGTACTTGGCAAACTGCTCCGGCCGAGCGAAGAAGACCTCCAGGCGCTGCTCCTCGGACCAACGGTGGCCGTACTCATAGCCCACCAGCATGCTGACGTCTTGGGGCACCTGGTACTCTGCGATGGGTGCCACACAAGTCACATCAAGGTCCGCGTAGTAGCCGCCCTCGGTGTAGAGCACCAAATACCGGAAGAAGTCCGCGCGCTCAGTCGGTTGTAAGGAGTTCCAGATGGAGGGCATCCAATTGAAGTCATGCGACTTCTCTTTCACCAGCACCTCAATCTCCGTGTCGTTCCAGAGTTTGTGCTCGCACTGCGGGTTCATCTGAATCCAGGTGTGCATATAGCTACGAAGTTCAGGCGGTGGAGTGTGAGACTTCCACGTCTGGTGGATCTTGCATGGGATCTTTGTAGGCCCCACATGCTGGACCCGTGATCTTGTCGCCAATAGAGAGCAGTCCTCGGCAAGGGCCAGGACCGGCAGCACAGGGACGAGGAGAGATGACCAGGGAGCCGTGTTCCACCGCATGAGGGAAGAATTTCAGGACATGGAGGAGGTTTCAGTGCTTGAGCCAGAAAGGGTCCTCTCTTTGGAACATCCAGAGGTTCCTCCAGAAATCCACAGGGGCCCCAAATACCATCGATCGGATGTTCGGAACTCTCTCTCTCTCTCTCTCTCAAGAAGCGCCCCAGAACCCCAGAACCCCAGTCCACCGAATCGGTCTTTCTGATGCCGGGTCGGGCCGGTCGGGGTTTCTGTGGCTTGGAATCGCTTCACCGCTGAACGCAAGGAGAAGAACACTCTTAGTGATGGCAAAGCGGCGAAAGGCAAAGAGATGCACAGTTTTAACGATTTTGATGTATAAAGACTGCAGGTGCCATGACAACCCTAACCGTGCCAAAGCTGGCATTTTGGTCTGGCCTAACGAACTAACACCTGTTCGCGATGAATCATCAGTTTCTTCCACCAGAAAAATCAGCGAAAGGCAAACAATCCAAGTCTGCTGCACTCTGGTGGTGGGTCAAATGTGTTTTGACCCACTTGGGCACTTCGTGGGCTGGGCCGATCTGCATGTTGCAATGTGTTGAAGTCCTGCCTGTGCTCTCTTTGGTCAACATATCCTGCTTCTATGGCAAATAGACAACCATGCCCTACCCGAGCTTGAGAGGCACAATATATCAATCATCCTACATGATAGTACAGATAGTACATGTACAGGTGCACTCCTTCCTCTCCAGCAAGAATTCCAAAAACACAGGCCCTCTGTTGCCTCCAACGGACATATATGTCATATATTGCACATTGTTGCACAATATGTTAGAAAGCAACCATATCAAGGATCATGTCTGTCATGTTGATAACACCTGAGCTCGACAATCAAACAATTACACACTGGTGTAGGATATATATATATATATATTCTGCCACTACAAGTGACCAAATCGATGGCTTCGTGACCAATTTCGTCCGTACCCCACAACCCCACAAGGTCCTGGTCGTTGGGCTCCCGGAGACCTGCCTGGAAAAGCCACACCGAAGAAAACAACAACACCGACCTGGGATATCCAATAAGAAGAAAACTCGGACCAGGTAATCTGCTCTATGTGGCACAGATACCAGTTTCAGAATTACAAGCAACAACCTAGTCAAACTTATGTGCAAAAAGTGCAATGCTGTAACGAAGATTGTGTTTGAAACCTGAAGCCCGCCTTTCTCAGCCTCCCTTTAGTGAACATGAACTCTATATTTGTCCGCAGGGCACAAGAGAATGGGAATCAATACACTCAATACATGTTGATTGAGCACACGCAAACACCAGCAACACCTAGCTACCGTGGGCTAGTCAACTGAGAACGCCATCTCCAATGACAAAAAGGACCCATGGCTGATTCCCCAAACGAGGTCTGGACCGGAGCCTTTTTTCCATTGTGTTGTCCAAGTCTTTGGCCAATGGCCTACAATGCCATGCTGAGCTGGGCCATGCGTGTTCAGTTCTAGTGATTTCCTAGTCTGCATGTTCTCGAAACGTGGAATCCACGTGGGGACGGGTCAAAACCTGGAGCCCCAATACCATGTAGCTTGACATAGCTTGACCGGCTCCTGCTTTTGACCCACAGCCACGTGGGTTCCGTTGTGCCAAGCACTGAAACGCCCCCCGGTCGGCCCCCGCCTGCCCGATGTCTTGGGCGTTTCCCAGCAGTTCCTGCGTGATGGGGGTATGTGGAGTTGGTGAACAAAGAGAGTAAGGAGATCCATCGAAATCAAAACTCCGGGTTCAATTTCCAAGTGGCAAAAGTCCGCCCAAGGAAGTTTTGCCAAACATCTTCTGTGGGATTTTCACACAATGGCTGAACGGGGTATAGTATGTATACACATATATATATATATATGGCACAATGGTCATTACATGTATATTCAACCTGACGAATGAGTCCAAATTGAACATCATGGTTTAGTCCCAACAACTGAAGAGGCATAAAATCGACTCACAAGTCTACTAGATCCTTGCAGATTGAAAACGTACAACGTGTGGACCAAAACCACCAGCTAGCATATGCTGCGTATATATACGCAGCACCGATCTCAACGGGTGTCACCGGATTCGTGCGACAAACTCGGCTGGGAGATTGGGATGCTGGGAGACTGGTGTTGCGAGCAAGAGTCTGCAGCGCTTTCAAGCGGGCAAAGTCCCTAGAACTAAGGACACACGGTGACACATGCTGCAGTTTGAAAGGGCAAGTTCATCATCTCCTCCCATCCCATCCAGTCTACCTCGCCTCTAATGCACGATCCAAATGGCCCTGCCGCCGCAGGGCCGCCGCAGCAGCGGCCCTCGCGAAGCCCATGGCCTCGTAGGTTTTCACGGCCGAACGGCTGAAATCATGAATCCAGCGGATGGGATAGTGGGATCCAGTGGTGATGCATACAAAATATCATATTATACATTTTACATATATTATGTATAAATTATAAATATATATTATTATGTTTATATATCGTATATCTATACTATACGTGGAGTCTGTCTGGAAGAAACAGCAAAGATCCCAAACTCTTGGATGATTCTGGATGACAACGGGTAAGTTCTAGGATGACACATTGTAGGGTTGAATGGCAAAATACAGGATCCATCTGAGGTGTTGTTTTGATAAATCTGCCTGGTATCAAAGTTCAAGAAAGCTGTTTGGGTGTCTTGAGAAAGGAAGACCTCCAACTAATGGGTTTCAGTCAGTCATGTTTTCCTTTGCCCAGTCTTCAAGGGTTCCCCCAGTAAGACTGCACACCAACCTCAAAGACAGGATGTGCCAGCGAGCCAGATCTGGATGTGGCATGTAAGCAAAGCATCCGAACACTGTAACGGGACTCTTGATTGGTTGCATAAGTTAAACAAAAGCACCGTCAAGGTCTGTATAGGATCCTTTTGACCAACTATAGAGAAAATCAGGAAAAGAGTAGTTGACATGTCAAACAAACATATGCATCAATATATACAATATATATATATATAGTATCTGTGTGCTTCAAATGTTTTGGAACAATAGCCAGCAAAATGCGTGAGTGGGCAAGCCAAATGTTCGCGGCTCACATGAGCAGGAATCGCTCTAAAGAAGACTATGGACTCCTCATAACTCCTCCAACATGCTCTAGTGGCAAAGTAAGTTAAAATAGGATTGTTCCACCAAGAAATGTTTCTGGTCAGATCCAGGCACCTTTTACAGCCATCACCCACCAAATCGGGCATGCCTCCAACTTCTGCAAAGGCGTCTGCTCCTGCCACGATTACCAACAGGGTCAAAGTGGGCCTCTCCCACATCTTTATGAATTTGCAACACAGTGGTTTCAGAGTACAGTACAAGGGCCCCAGAATAGATTTAAAAGTGATCTGATCACCTCCATCACACAGACCTCAAAAACCCTTTCTATCTATCCGAGGACTACGACTTCGGTATTAATTTTGCACAAGCAACCGGTGGGAATTGTGCCCATCTAATCACAGCTGGGTTTGTCTTTTTTTCCATGGAACTTCTGGTTACATCGAATGGCCGGACGTGCTCGGTCCGTGCGTCGCTCGGTCCGTGCTGACGTGCGTCCAGTGTCACATCCAGTGTCACGTCGAGTCAAGGCTGGATTCATCAATTGAACTCGTACATGTTATAGCAACAAATCACACACAAAAAGAAAACACAACAAACACAACCGTACCAAAGTTAATCAGATTCACATTGTTTTATTGTGTGGTTCTGTTTCAGGTCTCTTGTGAATGATGCATTCAGGCTTCCAAACAAAATCAAAGAGGTAACGTTCTCAATATTTCTCAATCACCATCGGTGTCGCTTGTCACACCAGCAACATCCAAGAACACAAAACACGTCGCTGCTCACAAGTAGGTGGGCTCGCTCGGATTGCGGAGTACGCATCTGTATGAAGCTCAATCAAAACGCGTAAGAATCGTGTACATAGGTGTTCAATTGGATTCTGACCCAAACTGAATCCGGGAATGCGGCCCTTCCAAATTCTGACATCCCGATTCGCTAGTCCTGAGGGCTGCTGAGTAGCTCGGCGATGGCATCCTCAGCAGATCCTGGCCCAAGCATTAAGTGGGAATCTCGCATGGGGAGAATTCACTTCTCCAGGCCTTCCATGGTCTTTTCATCCTCACATGTCTGGAAATTCCATCGAACTCTCATTCCAACGAAAGGCGAAGGAACATATGTCCAGAAGGCCCTCATGGTCAGACCTGTCCCAGTCGCCGGGATCCGCCGAAAAAACCGCCTCCATGGCTCTGGAGCGCCGCGAGGGATTTTCGACGGCTGAATCCCATGTCCACCAGCTTCTGCAAAGGCTTTTCCTGGAAGGAGGAAACTGCAAAGGAGGCAACCTGGAATTCTGAAAGATCCAATGTTCACACATGTTGAGATTCATTTACCCTGGTGATCTATTTCTTATATATATATATAGAGCCGCTCTTGATGCCCGTTGATTGCCATTGTGATTGCCTTTTTCGATTGTTGCAGCAAACTTGGAAATCTTATCCATTCTGAGAAAACACTCTGGCATCAAAAAGCACTCTGGTCACAGGTGATCAATCACTTTCCAATCAGCATCCCAGTTCCCTCCCAACTGCGACGCTCAGGCGGGACCTCTACACAACTCTGCGACGTGTGGGGTACGACATCAGGATTCCCGCAGAATAGATCAGGTGGACCACAAGGGATTTCCCAAGTACAAGTAGTTGATGGCATACAAGTCTTTGAACAATTATGCCTCCAAGCATGCCTACTGCCTCAAAATCAAGGCATCTGGATAACACTCCACATCGCTCCACGAATCCATGTCGCGCAGGGAGCTGTTCGTCTTGTTCGTCTGTCTGACTCGTGCTTCAAAGTGGGCCCCGGGTGCACATCCAACCTCTGTTTGCTTCCGAAGATTGACCACCACCCAGTTGATTGTGGGATCTCTGATAGAGCCAGCTTCTGGCTGTTGAGGCTTGACAATTCCAGCCTCCGAGTGCACAGGCGGAGGCCCCTGGCGAGGCGACTTGGCAGTTCGATTGGTCATTGAAAGGTTCAGAGCAAGAGTTCAAAAGATTTCAAAAGCAGGTGCACACAGTGTATAGATGTTATAACTTAGTTTGACAATTTTAGGCAGGCTCTCCCGGACCTACCCATACCGAACTCAAGATGGTTTGACGAGCTCTCAACAACGTTGGACTTTATGAACGCTGCAAAAGACAAACACCCAACTTCTCCACACAGTGGGACAAGGAAGGCCGCATTTCTTCTGACCATACGAAGATTGCACTGCAGGCGACAGCAGGACCCAAATGCTGCAGGTGTGTGATACTATGTCCATGGTTGGGCATGTGGCTTCTCTGGCGCAAATTTCGGACATGAACTGCCTCTTTACAGTACGTGATCAACACATATTCCAAGTATCCTTGTGCCGCTGCACTGCACCGCTGGACGTCCGAGACACCGGCATGTAGAAAAAGGTGTGTCCCAAATGTCACTCTCTCAAGGCCACCGGCCGATTTTTTTACAGTACGCCAGTACGCAGAGGTTCAAGTTCACTCAATCACTCAATTAAGTTCACTCGAACAGTACCACTCCGGAGCCGGAACCCGTGAGCTCGGGTCTCCCGCCTGTGAACTGCTTGAGCTCGAAGCATCCTCAACCTGTCAGGTCCATCAACACACCAAATTGGGCGTGTGTAACGATCTGACTATCTCTCTCTCTCTATATATATATATATACACATACCAGGACCCTCCAACAGGTGGTGGTTGGTTGCTAACAGGTGCGGTTTGGGGGCATTAGTTGTCACCAGGAAACACCTGTTGGAGGTGCTGGTATATATGTATTGTCATTGGAATAGGGCGCCCCTGCAACATCCCCCCAATCACTGGTTTTAGTAGCTTGTCTTAATGGAATGTCTTGGTTGCTTCGTTTGACCAGGGCGACTCTTGATTGGTCACACATAGGTCATGACCATTGACACATGCCATCCAACATGTTCAAATGAACATCCGAGTTGGAATGGGTTGTTTTCCAATCTTGACCGCTGAGTTTCAGAAACCCCACCATGAAAACCATCAATTGGTGGGCCTAGAGAAGCCATCGCTGGATCAGAATCAAAGTCCTCAACACAAAACCGAAGGCATTCTTTTGGACGAACCTCAGGACCTCTGCTTGAGGGTCCCATATTCAGCATATCAAAGTTTGTGACCTAAGATTGGATAACAACCCATTCCAACTCGGATCTTCATTTGAACATGTTTGATTGCATTTGTCAATGGTCATGACCTAGTCCCACCATCAAATGGTTAAGTTGTATGTAACTTGTAGACTCTGGTCCGTTCGTCCTCCAGAATGCTGCCTCGGCTTTGGATTTTGCTCGCTGCAATGCAAGCTCCTGAAGCGGTTTGGCACTGCAGGAGCTTTGGGTCGGGAATGATGGACCCCAAGGGATCCTGCCCTTAGCCAGTCACCCAGCAACTGCAGAAACATGGCTTTTATATGGTTTTGTCCTTGTGTGTGGCGGATGTGGCCGGGGGAGTCCCCGTGTGGCGAAACCCACCCCACGCGACACCTCACGACGAAAAATCAAACCAAGTGGGTCGTACAATCGGAAGGTCGACAGTTGTTGTCGAGAGCTGAACGACAGCGATTTGGGTTATGTACGATGACATGTCGAATGACCAGAATGTGACCGCCACCGACATCGGTGTGCATTAGAATAGGCAGAACCCCGATTTCGACCCCCAGGAAAGAAAATAGACCACAACCCATCGGTGAGGATTTCCCTATTATATCAACATCCCGCCCCAGATTGATTTCGAAACCAAACGTGTCCGCTCTTGTGAAACAGGCCATGGTTGATCCGCAAAAATATCCAGCCCTATGGAAACCATGCAGTGCAATCTCATGTTCAATAACGCAGCGACGTGTCGAATCGTAAGGAGAAAACCTGCACCTGAACGATGCCAAAAACGCAAAAACAAGAAGACCTGTTGACCTGCTGAATGGATGTTTCTGCTCAAACCGCCAGGCGCTTGACGAGCCTCCCGAGTGACCCGACCCATCTGAAAGAAACATCAATGACTCTTCATGGCCATGCAGGAAGGACAAGCGACTCCAATCATCTGGTTGAGCATCAGAAATACATGGAATTCCTTTCAGGCCAGGGACTCCCCCTAAGAGAAGTCCTTCTCCAGTCGTTCCACCTTTGCTGCTGCCAACTCGGCTTCCAATTCGGCCAACTTGGCATCCCCGTCTTCGTCCGCCATGCGGCACCAGCAGGGGGCCAAGGGAGGCACTGCTATTTGGATGTGGCCGAAAGCGGAATCACTAGCAATCAAAATGTCTGCTTTGCATGGGGGTGGTTCAGTGAAATCACTTTCCAGCGGATCGCTTTTCAAGCTTATGGCGCATTCAAGAAATGCGCCCCTCCTGCTAATTATTGATCTATGTATAGGAGAGTCCTGAAAGCCACTTCAGTTGAAAGCATCCTGATAGGCCCTGATTTGGTGACTATAGGCATCCGAATGGCTTCGTGGATGCCTATAGTCATCTAGTGACCTAGACGTGTTAATTGGCCATGTCCATGTGGGGCGACCTCCAGATGTTGACCCAAAGCTTAGTAGAGGTCCATATTTTGTCCCGCCAAGTAGCACTTCCATGTGATTGTGCTATTAAACCATGCTTGGAATGCAACTTGTCAGACTAAGCATCTCCAAAACATTCAGAGCAAAAGGACGGAGCGGCTCAACGAGATCTTCAGCACCGCCAATGACTGTACCCACTACATATGTGCCTGCAGCCAGCAACACCCTCATCTTAGACACCCCATTAATAGTTGGAAACAAAAACTAACACAAGGGAGTCTGACTCCATAAGGTGTTCTTCGCTGTTTATCCAACAAGAAGCCGGGACAGTTCAAGAAATCCATCGCGTTCAGGTCGCTCACTCGTTCGACCTCTGCACTCAATCCTGGGCGTCCAATTGACTTCCGTCACCGAACGTCTCTTTGAGAGGTTCACCAACCCATGCCCGAGAATGCTACAAACCCAAAAGAACCTGGACGTTTGGCGGACATGTCCGTGGACGGCGCCTCCAAATCCACCACGAAGGGCAGAGGTGCTGAGCGCAGCTGACAGAGTTGCACCTGGGGCGAAGTCGGAGAGTTCGAGAGGTTCGGGTCGGTGTTGGTCGGTGTTAATCGGTCATCTCTAACCAATTGGCGCCGTCGGTGGATCATTGGATCGGACGTTGGAGTGGAGCAGTTGAAAGGTTGGAAGGTTCCCTTGGATCAGTCAGAGTGGAGCATTCGGTCTGACGAAGATCAGTCGGATTCGTTGCAGTTGATGCGTGGGCAAAAACCAATTTTGATGTGCAGAAAGGGTTTCGAGAAGCAGAATCGACGTTTTTTTGTTTTAGCTCATACGTACAGTACAGTACAGCCATGTACGAGTACAGCCTGTAGGCAAAAGCTTTGCTGATAGCAAGTCAGCCAGCGTTTCGCAATCCTTGAGAGCCAGCCCCCCCGAAGCCTACAGGACATCAATGCCACTCACCATGGGCGTCATCTGCGTCGTTGGACCGATGGCCACCGACGGCCACCGACGGCCACCGAGGACCGGCTCCCTCGATGCCCAGAGTCGGACGTCGACCGTTGGACTCCTCTCAGGGAGTCGGGTGTTCTTGTAGACCCACTCCAAACATCTCCAAGCATTCCCCCCCCCTCTGTACTGCGCACGGCAAAGCCGCCGTGTCAGTCCGTGCAAAGTCCAGGGTCGGTCAAACTCAACTCATTGGTCATTCCCCCCTCTGTAAAGGGAGGTTCGCAGCCACAGACCCGGCGGGAAGAAAAGAGTTCCTCTCTGTCTCTGAATCGGGGTTTCGCTTCGCATGTCGCGGAGGACACTCAGGTCGCAGCCAGCCGCAGCAAGTACCAGCACTCCGGTCTCCTGAACTCTCATCGTCACCGTCGAGGATGAAACGAGTTGAAAGTTTAAGAGCCCCATGATGCTGGGCTGTTAGACTCTTATTTTTTGACTCGAATGATTCTTCAGATGTTCTGCTTTGCACAGCATCTTCCGAAAGGAAGGGAGCGGTAGGTTTTTTTTTTTGTGGGAATTGGTTGCGTTGCGTTTGGGGAATTGTTTGTGCGGTGGGTGGTTTCTCTATAGTTCCTCCAGTGGAAGTGGAAAGCTAGCTGTTTGTAGAAATACGTGTCCAAGAGGCCATGTTCCATGTCAGTTTCAGGGCGTCTAGGGCCTGCACAAACATACTAACCAACTGGACCACAAGGCAAAACAACAACTCCGGCCGCAGGGCAAACAAGCATGAGACAACAGCAAATGAAAGAGTTCTGTTCATATGATGCACTTGGGTTGTCCCTTAGGGTGAAACAAAACACAACAACCAGCAACCAGTAGTGCAGAAAACAAACAACAAGAGTAGGAAAAGTAATTATAGAACACCCAAAAAGAAGGCCATAGAAGGCAAAAGCAATAAAAACAGCGAAACAATACGCCAAAAGAGGACAGGAAGCGGGAAAGCAAAGAAACGCAGTAAAAAAGCCAGGAAGTGTAAGACAAGCGCAAAGAAGCAGGAAAAGCAAGAAAAGCGGAGAAATCACAGCGAAGCAATGGAAGGCAAAGGAAAAGCAGGGACATGCAAAACAAGCACAAAAAAGCAGAAAAAGCAAACAAAAACAGGAGCAGCCACAAAGAAGCAATGAAAAGCAAGGAAAAGGGAGGAAAAGCAAACACACAAAAACAACAGCTGGAGATAGTAGGAGACATCATAAAGAAGCAATGAAAAGCCAGAAAAAAGCAACAAGACGCAGATCTAACAATTCCCTAAATGCGACGCATCACAAGCCCTCCTTTCTGAAAAGCTCTCGTGATCTCTGGCTAATTACTCATCTTAACTTCTGGCTTCTCTGATGTCTCAGTCCTCGCCCCGGACGAAGCCGCCTGGCTAGCCAAACACAACCACGCAGCTTTTGATGACGTGGAGCGGAAATTCGGGCTCTTTTGTCCAAGTTTGCCAAGCTTTTCAGGTGTCAAACCATTGTCAAACACAGAGAGTGACACACCAGGTGTCAATCTTTGGTCAAAAGGTGTCAAACTCACACGTGCACACACCACACACACATGAGTGACTTGATGTTATGTTCTGAGAGAAGTCAAACAGATGTCAAACCTGTTTCTCTTTGTGGGTGTACAAAACGGTCAAACCAGGCTGAGACCAAATCTGATCAGTTTGCATGTTGGGGGAGAACTGTTTCCAACAATTGCATTGACTTACGGATCACCATGGATCACCCAAATGACAAAAAAGAGACTCGTCTTGTCTCTGAGACTCCGCGACTGACATCCGCTGGGAGAAAGGACATGGCCAGTCTAAGCGAACCCTCACTAAATCACAACAGGTCTGTCTCAACAGTTACACACATATGGAAGGTCTCTTTCTGTTTTATAAGCCTCAAATGCTTCAGTGACATGGCGGATGCCGATGCAACGCCACTCAAGGAGGAACATTGGAACTAGCTATATATACAAATACTATGTGCTAGCGAATTGTCATCCAAACATTATGAACATTTAACATACCATGTAGATCAATTTAACATGCATTATCATGCACTATTGCTTAATTTTTGAGGACAACAACATGTACTATATAGAATAGCGGCCAACAAACAAATATGTAATCATTGAGTTTTGGAATGATGTCCAATGTTCAAGCGCTTCCACGAAAAGAAAAGGAAAAAAAACTCCTTGCCTCCGATCGGCATCGGACTCGAGTGGAACTGCGGATTCGATCTTTGCCCACCTCACAGGGTGCCATGAAGACCGCCATGCACACCGGCAACGCCTGGCACGGTGTCCACCGCTCCGGTGGGGAAGAGTCCTTCTTCGGGTTCGGAGTCTCCAGGGTGCAGTGCACAGTGAGGTCCACTCCGAGCTGCATGTGTCCAGTTTTGGGGTTCGAAAAACGGGGTCAAACCCAAGAAGGCTGGCTGCAGATTTTGATGATTTCGTTCTGAAGTGTCAGTGAAAATGAGCCCTTGCAGTGTCATAGTTCTTGTCATATTATATAGTGGTACGAGAGCTGGATACGTTTTTCTAGTCAGTGCTCCTTTCAAACATTGTTCATTTCTAGCAAGAGGTCTGAAGCCTTTGTCTTGAGCTACCTGTACCCACTTATGTATGTTTGTTCCTCCTCATTTGGTGTATATATTGACGTATATTGTGTTTCCATCCTCACGGCAAGAGCCCTGCTCACCCACATGTCTGCCTTGTGTTCGCTTGGGTTTTGCTGGATTTTGGAATACAATCTTCCAGAACACCCATGACATACGATACCACGAAGAACCCGGCTGGGCTAGCTGTAGCAGTTGCATGTGATCCCATTGTGAGTTCTAGAGCTATCCAGCTCGATTGGCAAGAAGTTTGATCGACCCGACATGGACCCCCAGTCCTCATGCGGTAAGTGAGCTGCCAGCAAACGACTGAACCTGGGCAGCTGCAGCCGCTTGCAGCAACTGCAGGCTATAAACTCTTTCTGTATCAGTGGAGTAGTGGAATACATGAGGCAGGTGAACCAGGCCCGTGTTTCAATACACTCAGGCCCCTCTTTTGCAGGCCGAACAGCGCTCCCCATCATTGGATCCTGCAATGGAGTGTCTTGACCCTACAAAAGTAGAGGTTTTGACCCTCAACACTTTCACTTTTTGGATCGACCTCAAGCTTCTTTGGGGCCACGAGACTCGTGAAAACAGACCGGGCCACCTCCGGGCCCAGACCTCACCTGGTCGAACCCATCGAAGAACGGTCCCATTGTCGAGTCCACTTTCTGGAGTCCATATTCCATTTAACAAACCAGGTTGCAAACATAGTGTAAACATACCTGCTTTCTGGGTTTCCACTTTCTGGTTGCAAACATGGTGTAAACCTGCAAAACTATGTGGGTGTCGTTTTTCAAGCGAGACCCGGGCGATCCGGGTAGACTGGTCGAAGTGGTCGAACCGATTTGAGTTTTGAGCTTTGGTTGGAGTCGGACTGAACGAATGGCCCGGAGGAAGCAAACGGAGCCGGTGTGGAGGCCATGGCTAGTAGGTTGGAGGCCATTACTGGTAGCAAAAAGCTACTAGTAACAAGGGCATCGCTACTAATCCGGTCCACCTATTAAAAAACACCCCCCCCCCCCAATAAGGAAACCTCGGTCGCATTTTTTCTAATAGGGGGTCCCTGAAATCGGGGGGTCCAAAATAGGGTCACCTGGGAAGAGCTTCAAAACCAAAAAGTAAATCAGTAAATGTTTGTTAAACTCGT